CAGCAGGATTAGTTTGCGTGTCTCAGACACTTCTGCTGGCAGCTTCTTTACATCTTTGTTGACAGTTTAAGCTAAGCACACTGGCATACCTTCAGTTCTCCTACAGATGCAGTAATACCTTTCAATTGCCTGAACAAGAATCACCAGAGGGCATCTGTCTGAGTCTGAATTATGTTTGAAAACCATCTGGCATGTTGTGGGATAGTCCTAATAATAACAATGAACACTTTATCAGGAGTTGAGTCATTGTGCTTGGTTTCCATTGTAATTCTCTTATTAGTTGCATATATGTATTCCACATAGCCAAGGGGTTAATACTGCGTGCAGGTATTGTACAAGACCATTGTGCCGGCAGCTCTCATTTGGACTCATTTATCATTCAAAATCTGGCCATAAGAAACACATTTAAATAATAAAAATAATTACTAAGATGAAAGACATAGATCAGCATTAATTGCATCCTAAACCTGTTTCCTGCTTCTGCATGGGGAAGGAGGAGAGGAGGAAGTGGGGGTGGCAGTCACAGGAGTAAGCTGCTTTCCCTGCAGGTGCTTTTGCACTGTTGTAGGGGTGTCTTTTCGCACTTAACACAGATATCCATCAGCAAGGACAATGTGGAGCTGCCTGGGCCTGAAGCATGGGAAGAAGAATGCTCCAGGAGGTCCTTGGTCCTCATGGGTTCCTCACAGGAACATCATCACTTGCTTTCCTGTAGGAAGAGCTCAAAGTATTTTGGCAACCTGAGTATATGTTATTTCCTAGAACCTTAATAAGGTTCAGAGAGAATACTCTTATTTTGCACATTTATTAATTGTATTGAACCAGACCTTCAGCTAGCAGTGATTCATAGAATGATGGAATAGTTTGGGTTGGAAAGGACCTTTCAAGGTCATCTAGTGCAAGTCATTCAAGATCATTCAAGGTCCAAGTCATTCAAGTCCAATTTCCAAGGTCATTAAAGTCCAACCCCCAGCAATGACCAGGGACCTATTCAACTAGAGCAGGTTGCTCAGAGCCCCGTCCAGCCTGACCTGGAATGTTTCCAGAGATGGGGCAACTAACACCTCTCTGGGCAACTTAGGCCAGTGTTTCACCACCCTCGTTGTCAAAAATTTCTTCCTTAGGTTTAGTCTAAATATGTCCTCCTTTAGTTTAAAACCATTACCCCATGTCCTATCGCAACAGGG